CGCGGAGAATTCAATGTGTATGGATATCAAGAATACACGGTTGTTGAAAGAATGATTCGTGAAGGTTGAAACTTCGATAAATAACAGTGTAATGAAGTGGCTGATACTATGAAAAAGGACAACAAGTCAATAAACGATTGATTTGCAACAAAATTGATGTTGTCGAATAATACTGGACAGATAAACATAGTTAGATGACTGTAAACACGTTGGACAGAGGCGTCAGTAAAATGAAACTTCTACGATGTCATCTCAAATCCGACGTCTCAAGTCTTCTCATCGAATTTCGTCACCCGTCAGAATCGTTACATGCAAGGTCGAAAGAAATGAAAATGTTGAAAAAAGTTGAAGGATGATTACGAACAGTTTCTTCTTAGTAAGCCCTAGAATCGATGGTTCGATTGAAACGACGATTCAGATTCATCAAATAACCATCTTCACTGAATATGTTCAACGCAAACGAAACCAAATGGACTTACTGATTTGAAGCAGTAGATTGAGCAGTTGTTCGTACTTGATTGAAATTGATTACGATTACAAATTGTAGTGTGAGAAGAACGAAAAATAGCCATTGGCCACTTTCGGCTGCAGTTCTTGACCACTCAAGTAACATTTCAGTTGGGAACTCGTCGTGCGATTTGTTATTGTCCACAGCTAGTTATGAGCAGTGACAATAACAATCAGTGTGTTCATTGATTCGCGATTGCAGTTAGCAAAGAACACATCGTAGTGGTTGGTTATCGTGCCTGCTGCAGTCGATATCGACGAAATGTCGCCGGCGATTCAATTTTCCAACAATATGATGATGTGGTTATGAAGGTGACGATATTAATGGATATTAATGATTATGAAGATTTTAATGAAGGCGATAAAAGAAGCTTGAACGATGACAGAAAAGTTGACTACTAAGAATGCTGGAATGTCGTGGAACGGCACGGCAGCAAGTAATCAAAAAGAGAAATCGATCAACTGAAATGGAATGCAAAATTCGGTTGTGAAATGAAACGAAGTGAAGAAGCAATAATGAAACAAAAATGAAATGTCACTGAAACACAATCAAGTCAATCATCTCACAAAATGATGACGTTCGTTACGCATGACCAATCAATCGATTCGGTTTCAAGTCAGTACTGAAGGCTGAATACTGAGTGCAATTGATCTGACAATGATGATGGTAATTGAAAATGATGCCGAGATGAGAACGATTCATTGAGTGGGAAAAAAATTGTTGAAATTATTAATCGAGTTTGTGCATTTGTATGGGCGTGTGTGCGACTTGTCTTGAGTGGTGATGATTCAACGAGTATTACTTTCATTAGTATCGCTTGTGTCACTCCTATTCTTTTGTATCATTATCACAACGAACAAGTCAATGACAATTAAAACTTGCATTTGTAAGTATGAATGCAGTAAATAAAAGATGATTAAATGCTGAAATGATGACGGAAATTTAGTTTAATGACAAAGCATACCATCGCTGCAAGTACACTGGTATTGAAAAGGTCCATCGATAATTTTCTTCTCTTGTGTTATTATTCATCGAAGGGTTCGTTTGAAATTAGCAAAGAACACATCGTAGTGGTTATCGTGCCTGCACTGTATGACAAATAGACAAATGTAGACAGATGTACTCATCTACTACGGTGTTGCATAAAAGTCAGGAAATTCGGCAGTTTCATGGAAGAGCATGCAAAGTCCAGTTTCGTAACAGGTTAAAGACGGTTTTATGGTGAATTGAAAGGGAAAGGGTGATATCTCTGAACATGACGAGATTGTTGGTGTTGTTGATCATCAATAAAAATTTTGCGAATATGTCGCCCGAGGCGTCAATGTTTTGCCGAGGGATACGTAAGTGCATAAAAGGTTAAAGGACACATTTTCCGCCGAAAGGAATTGATCATGAAGATGAGCAAACGAGCAGATATATCCAAAAAACAGCATCTAGAGAAAAACAGCGCAGACGAAAACATCCAGAGAAACTTTTCCATATATCATGCATATTCTATGCCGTTAGATAAAAAGAGATGATGATTTATAGGCAGGAATTGTGTGTGACAAGTTTAGTGAGAAGAATAGAATGGTTTTCAATGATCACTTTCCTCAGGGCATCAAAATCACTAAAGCTCGATATGACTATAAATCATAAATTATCGTTAGTGTCTTCGTTAGGATCAGAAAACGCTTTGACATCACAGTTCACTATTCCATTTCACAGATACGGTCGTCTATATCATCATCCATTATTCTTTGAATGTGCATCTCAAATATTTTAAATTATTACTATCATCTTTGAATTTTTTGTTATTTTTTTCACCAGTTTTTTTAGTTTCGCTCCTAATATCATTCAAGATATTCTATTATATCATAATCAAGTTATTCTGCTCATATCGTTCCGTGTTTCTATAGTGAATGTCGAATCTCTCAATTTTTACAATTGATCATTCAGAAATCCTTAAAAACCGAAACCTTCCCAAATATCAACTTCGGAACACAAGAAATTGAACGAATGGCTTCGTGGTGTGCAACGAATCTCCGAGATTGTAAGGTTGGTTTTTGAAATTCTACTGAAACCGCTCAAGTGAGTAGTTCATTGGGTTTAGGCGTTTTTCCCAATGAATGACTGCATGAATACGATTCAACCTGGAAGGAGTGGTACATGAAATCCTACGACTAATTAAAAGCATGACGTAAATCCACTGAGTTGTCATGAATACAAACAAGTAAAAAGCGAGGAGCAACACAGTTTCACTGTATGTATACGTGGAATTTTATTTGTATCATAGCAAGGAGCAATACTCATAAAGGTAACCTGCAAAATAGGAACAATGGACCACATCTTGAGCTTCGAATAGTGCTCATACTGGTGATCATTCTCGCTAAAGATGGGCAATAACGCGCTCTCCTTAGCTAGCTAAATTCAGCAAAATATCTGTTTCGCTAAATTTCGCTAGTTAGCGAAATAGCTATTCGACTATCTCGCTAACTGACGAAGTATGGGATAGTGCGTATTGCCCACCTCTGATTTTGACAGTATCATATCGTGAAATTCCAGTCAAAATAAATCTACTTGAGGCTTGGATTGATATCGGCCTTCCAATGACGACCACATCCAACGAGGCTGCTCGGCTCTATGATGCTCTTCTTCGCCAATATGTATCCTGGAGTGATTGTGAGGTACTCGGCGGTGTCGACACTACTATTGATGCCCTAAAAAAAGCAGACCCAGATTGCGGTTAGACTTCACTTCTCAATAAAATTGCGATAGATTTATTTTTAAAAATGATCCACAAATCAAAATATCATTCAAAACTTCGCGGCTTATATATTTGTTAGCATGCCTCAACATCGATTCTCGTTAACTTCCTGAAGTCATACATCAATTAAAATCAATCGCCCCATCAAACAAATCATGATCATATGAAATCATTGATACTCTAAGATATTGAGTAATATTTTTCAGTAATGGGTAGAGTGCTGACGCTGGGTCTTGAAGCAATTGGAACGGGGCGATCAACTGCCTTAGATGAAGAGTACGCGAGTGATTTAGCGAGATTACTGGAAGACGCGAATAAGTTCGGCAACGAACGCGAAAAAATACATGTGAAAGCTCTGAATCTATTCACTAGCGGGTATGAATATCAAGTTCATATTGAAAAACCTACTGAAATAGGAGCGATTACATTAAACGTATATTGGTGAGCCATTGGGTTTGCAGCAAAACTCTCCCCATTTAACGGGACTCGAACTCGTAACGTGCTTATTTTACGTGTTCAACTGGTAGAGCATCCGGCCGGCAATTGAAACGGCACGGACTCGAGTCTCACTCGGAGGGGAAAGTCCCACAAAGTTCTGCGTGAAATTGAATGGCGTATCAGTGTCATTGATGTTGGCAATCTTCAGCCAGCTATGAGTTTCTTTATATCTGGTAGCCAATGAAGCCAATAAAAATGTTAATAGTAATAACAGCTGTGACTCCAATGAAATGATACTGAAGGTTACAACTTTTCATTTTCTCCGATTGTAGTGAGATGAAGCAAGCATGCGTTGAATGGGAACAAATATTGCGTGATGCTCCGACAGACCTACTCGCCCTAAAGTTTGCCCATGATACTTACTTTTATTTGGGTGATCGTTACGCGATTCGGGATAGCGTTGCACGGGTGCTACCGCATTGGAATGCTACCATACCATGCTACAGGTTGGCGTTATGCGTTATCGCCAGAACCTGAATTGCAGGTGATTTTAAGTGTAAGAAGGTGTACATGCGATTGCAAAACATCCCATTCTCTACCTCCTCAACCAAGAGAAACCCCTTTTAAAATCAGCACGCTACTCCGAAAAGCGAGATGTTTGCTAACAATAAGCGATAAATTAATGATTGTAAGATGTTTTCATAACGCCCAAATCTATTCGATGCAAACGTCGCGAAACATGCAAGTTTAAATAAGGAATGGAAAACATCAACCAGTTTTTGAAAAATAGCTTCATATGCTACAATTTTGAAATTTTTAAAATTGTACAACCTTATATTCACACCAAAATCTTCGCAAATTCAGCTATCTGTATGGAATGCACGCGTTTGGTTTAGAGGAATGCGAAGAATATGGGCAAGCTGAACAAGAAGCAATAAAAGTGAGTGAAACATTTCCATTGAAATTCCTCAGTAAAATTTTCAGCCGTAGAACTTCACTATAAGCAATTCATGCAATTTTATCGAATTCATATTCACAAGCAATCTGACAATTGGCTGCCAGAGAATCGGAAAAAG